GATCTTCTCACCAGATTGTAAGTCAGAAGGAACCGCGTCGTCCCGGGAGAATTCCTCTGAATCATATAGGTCACCTCACCCCCTGAACTGACACCCGCAAATTCGGTGCAAACATCATCATTCTTTGCCGGGGCCGAAATTGCCAATCCGTTCACGGCGGCATTCAACAGACTCTGGCATGGTATAGAATCTTCCAAAATCTCGAAAGAGATCACAAAATTCGAGTCCTCCGGATCCACAATATCCCTCACGACAGTAAGATTTCGGCTCGCCATACTGTTGGTCATAGGATCCAAGTTACCCAGGCTGAAGTTCGTGCCATTGATTTCAGTCAACGTCGGAGACACCTGGCGGGCTATCGCAAGTTGCCCGACGGGCTTATTATACATATACAGAACGGCTCTGGTAATGCAAAAGGATTTCCTGCTGGCCAACGTGTTCATCGTTTTGAGAAGTCCTAGGACAAGGTGTTTGTTTTGTAGTTGATTTTTATCTTCAGGATGCGCGAGGCTACCATACGCGATTATAATTCCGTTGACATCCTTCGAGGATGCTTCGTATCCACTTGGGATAATTTCATCCCATCCACTAGAAGCTAGGCCATACATGAAATCTATAGCGCAGAGGTATGCATCTTCTGGGTTGATGGATACCCGAGGAACCCAACTTAGCACCGCATCGAAGCCAGGAACCGCAGGTTGTCCTTTGAGGTCGGTGGCGCTAAGAGACCGCTGTTAGCATCTGTCGCAAAGCGAGTAGTTCACAGACATACTTGACAGGAAGCCCAAGGCTTGGGATATTTACATTGGCGGGTAGTTGTAGCGGTATGAAAAGAGCAAGCGCCACGATGACACAATGCGCGAGAAGCACTACCAGACTTGAGATGCCAGGCATCTTGAACACAGCCAGACACGTTATAACAGCAGTACCACGTTATAATATCAGTACTAATGGCTAGGCAGAAATATAGGAGGAGAGTCAGCTTCACTTGGGAGGGGACCGAGTGGTGGGAGTTCGCATGTCGCTACCAGGAAGCTCCATAGCATAGAGCGGAAGAGCGCCTCGAGAGAATACGAAATAGAACGTGGTTTGCTATCCAAGCAAATCGACTGCGTTTCAATTCCATAGTGACCAAGCGACCTTGTGATTAGCAGGCCATATCTCGCACCAAAAAATCTTTCATCTTAGGTTCCTTATCCCAGAGCCGTTATGCACCAAAGCCCGGCATTGTCGTTGTTGACTCTCACCTTCCTTGCAGCTCTAACATTCGCCTTTCCTCCTAATTGTAGCTCAATCTACGGCCGTCCTCATCCTAACGATCGCCAGAGGATTCCCAATCTTTTTACAGGTTTTGGCAGTGGGCGCGATGTTAACGTTTCTTTGTCGTAGCGGGTACCCTACAGCCCGATGGAGTGTCAAACACACAGTTTACCAACAGAGTGAACATCCCTAACTTCTGGCCGGTTGAATATCGTACGTCTTCCCTCCGCTCCCTACTTTTACGGGACTCATACACCGATGTCCAACCTGTCGAAGTAAAGTTCCCAGCCTTCTCCCAGGCACCTGGTGGAACAACCAACTAGTTTATGTGGGTTCAAATACTAGCCCAGGGGAGTTCTGAGATACAATAAATCATGCAATCTACACACCATTCATTCTACTTAAACTATTTATGTCATTAGACGTCAGTCGCTCTTTCTCATTCGGCATATCGGTTTGGCAGTAAATAATTACTACGTGCAGGCTTTGGAAATCCTAGCGCTGTAGGCACGGGTCGCATCCACCCAGCCGGTGAGAATCTCTCCTGCTCTGACGATTAGATATCTGAAACGCCCACATGCATTCGAGCTGACAATGGCTAGCTCCATCTCTTTCTTTACTAGGTAGGATCTAATTTCGACAACGATACGCTAGATAATTTACAAGAGTGGCCGGGCTGTTGCAATACGAGAGAATGACGAACAACCTGCCGGATCACAAACTACCAAAGGTAATGACCACAATGTTCCCAGTACCTCACGGCGTCCCCAGGCGGCGGAAAACTGAGCGCTGCAAGTTGATCGGAAGCTTGATCTCGTGGCACCGATAAAGACCGAGACATCGGAAGCTGCACCTGCATCCAGCACGTCAACCTATAATTTTGATTCAAAGATGTTGATACAACATCCCCAGATCTGAATCAGCTCGAAAATTTTGCTGTACAGCGGTTTTTTTCAAAATGCCGTATTGTTAAACTCTTTCGCATAGGAGTTAGAGGGGAGGAGTGGGGGGGATACGGGGTGGTGTTCATCCAGCCTTGCCCCGAATCCACCCCAAGCTCCAGCCACGCAAAAGATAACTCAGCATTTGCGACACAATGAATTTTGACATCATCAAGCTGTGTCAGCTAGGTACAATCACCTATCCAGGTATAACCCTAACCCTAGGTCACGGGTTGATCCTTTGTGGTTGGGGACAACATACATTCAGTTCCGCCTTTTCGACGCCACTGTCAAGATCTGACAGCACTCTAGTCAATCATCATTGGCCTCATCTAGGTCGTCTTCACGAATGATCTAAAGCGCAGCTCTGGTATTCAGCTTCCGTTGCCTCATACGACTTTGACTGAGTGCGCCGGCACGGGTCATGGTTTTGCTCTCTCAGGAGCAATTTGATAATTCCAAATCCACAAAATATGAGACAAAGTCCGACCGTAAAATATGAGCGGTCATCATCTCCCAGTCCGTCGTTGCACCAGCGCGGTAACCGTATGCAGATGCATTGATAGTGGTGAGGGTGTTGTAGTAAGCGCTGTACACGTCGAACGAATAGTTCGATCTGAATAGCGCTTGCCTGATAGGACTAGGTCCGCTGTCAGCATTGACACGGTAGAGGCAGAATCTGTCACCGCCGTAGGCATTGATCATGTCAACAGAGATGTTCGTGTTCGGCAAGAACATTCAATGGTAAGATCCAACGGGTACAGCAGGGCCCGTACCGGAAGCTTTCCACTCGCCGACACAAGGGACGATGTCTCACCATCATCTGCAGGGATTAGAGAAGTGGTCGTTTGTTCCTGGTCCTGTTTCTTCCTGAGACGCCATTTCGATTAACCGCTGTCCAATTTGTTTTCTAATGCAGCTCTCGATGAAGTGCAGCACGCTAGACATCAAGGGCAGCCTAGTTTGAGCATTCGTTTCGAGCCAACCATCAGCCTCAGGCGTTGTGGCCGAAAGATTGAAGTCTCCTGCAGGCCTTGATGACGGAAAATTTAACGTGAGAAAAAAAGTGCTGCAGAAGCGCAAAGACCTGATCTATTTGTGTTCTAGTACGAGAATGGTAACCGAAGCGCGTACGACTTTTGCTAGTAGTAAATAGCGTGAATGGCATGGACAGCAGCGCCCGAACGCTCTCAAGCTTGGTTCGTGGGGTTTTGGGGAGAGAGGGAAAAGGCACACAGAATTCCCACCCACGGATAAGCTGTGTGCATTTGTTTTGAGGAGTGAGCATGGTGGCAGCGTGGGTTTTTTATTTCCACCGCTACCTACTAAGAATGTATTGTTGATTAGGAGAGTTCGTTTGTGGATCCAGCTGCCTCTTTCTTATGAGGAATTCGATCACTCGGCTACGTAACAGGGACCCTCATTCCCATGGGTGCTTGAATTCTTGGATTTTTGATCAAATCCTCGCTTCCGCAAGCCCGTACGCGGTGCGCCCCAGCGTTCCGCCTTCGACAATACGACATGATGGAGGAGAAATGATAGATCGCATGGCGACTACACCTAAAGTGGCGTACCGGCTACAACACATGTAAACGCCTTCATGTGAAGAACGACGAAATGTTCCAAGACTGGTAGGAAATTTGACATGGAATTTTTTGTACCAGTCGTTGACTTCCACACCCACCAGATGCTTTCGATTTTCTTTGTTTTGGATGGTGTATTTGCTGGCCGGAATCCTGAGCAGCAGCAACTGTAATGCTTACGAACGTTCCTGTGACTCCCTAGATATGCTCGAGACAGCCCCCGATCAGAAAGATGTCAGAACGTGCACAGATCTGGGATCCTTGGCTTATAAGAGATCCGTGGTTGGAGTGACGTAAAAGTTCAAAAAGCCATTCTCTGAGCTGAGTACCGTCGTACCCGCGTGCGGCGGCTACATATGGTCGTTTCAAGGCCCGGGCCTACTCGCCAACGCGTCATACTCATATAGACCAAGCAGCAAAATTCCTCCAAAGACTCCAGAAGGAACTCAATAAGCAGACCGACGGGACTGAGGCAGGCAAAGAGCTAATCAAGGTAGGCAAGAGGTCTGAATCGAGCAACGCCGTCCAGAAGCTCTCCTTATTCGTCGACTAGCTTCAATCAACTGCACCCGGGTCATCAATTGAGGAGCATCGCGAGTTCCGGCACACATTCAGTCACAGCTCACGTGGGTGCCACCTTCATTCTTCGACCTAGGCACACAGGGTCTATGGTAACGGTTAATCTAGCACACTTTCATATGATGGTAGTGGCAGCGCAGCCATTAGCACGGCCCATAGCGACCCGTACGTACTTCATCGACAAATGTACGATAAGAAGAGAGAGGATTGAGCAAGATTTGAGAAGCATGGATGTTTCCTGAGAATTTCGCTTTGTACTAAAGGATTCTCGATCTAATGCTGGTACCAAAGGTGTATCATTGTCTTGTGTATCGCCTGCGACGTGGATGTTTTTGTATATCTCGCTGTCTCTTAGTTGACGCAGCTCCAGACCAGATACAGACTCTATTTGACTGGAGGAGGCTTGAAAATGATCATCTTCATGATCCTCAGGGTCCAGTAGATACGAGTATATCATTCCGGTATATTACATTCGTGAATTTGCGAGGGGTCACGTAACGTGTATCGAACATTGGAACGTTAGCGCCGGCGCCGGCCGCCGCCTCAGTCTTCTCCGGCTCGAAGCTCTGGGCCACGCCAAGACAGGATGAGCACCTTCGCAACCTCGCCCTTCCCATCGCTACTCACGCAACCCAAGATGCTTCTTCCACACCTCCTCGTATCTCTTCTACCCACCCTCATATCCGCCGCCACCCTCACGCTCTCCGTCCCGCCCCACATCCCCGCCCTCCCTCCCTCGACCAGCGCAATCCTCACAACGCACGGTCAGCGCATCAAAGTGCCCGTAACGCGCAGCAACACCTTTGTCTTCCGCAATCTTACGTCGCCCTCTACTTCAGACCCTGCATCCTCGGGTTCGGAAAGAGGGATATCGGTCTCGTATCTGCTGGATATAGCGTGTCGCGACTACGATTTTCTCTCCTATGGGGTGGACGTTAAGAGTGGTGGGGTTGTGCAGGTGTATAGGGTGAGCAGGGGAGGCATTGTGACGGGTGAGAAGGTTACGGTTGGTGAAGAGCCGGTGGAGGTGAGGGTGTTGAGGGGTAGGGATTATTATGAGGCCAGGGCCGGATGTATGTGCGCTCCTATCTTGATAAAGCTGCGGAAAGGAGGAAAGGAAAGAGAATCGAAGGGAATGGAGATGGTGGAATTGGGCGACGTTACGGAACGGAGGAATCCTGCTAACGCACGAGATACAGTCTCGCCCCTGGACCTACTTAAGAACCCTATGATCCTGATTGCGGTGGTGGGACTGGGCTTCGTGGTGGGCATGCCATACCTGATGGACAGCAGTATGTCTACTTTCCTCCGCCCCTCCCCCGATGACCACGACAGCTGATGTCCTTGCGCACCATAGTGGATCCGGAGATGAAGAAGGAATTTGAAGAACAGCAGAAAAAGAGCATACTGAGTGGTGGAGCGAGCACGGCGAATCCTTTGCAAAATTTTGACATGGCGGGTTGGATGGCTGCGAAGACGTCCGGGAAGGGTACGGAGACTGGCAATGAGGGAAGTGGAAGGGATGTGAGGAGGAGGGGATGAGGGGCGCTACAGGGCAACAGTTTATGAGGGGTAGCTCTAAAATATATTAGCCGTAAATGTCTGGTGGATTTGGTGCTCGGTAGTGGTTCTTTTCGCAAGGTATTGGGCGTCTTTGCTGTGTGCAATCCGTCTAAGACGCCTGCCAAAGCACAATGGGAGGGGAAAATGATTGCGGGTGTTGTGAGGAATGCTACGTTCCCCAATCGTGTCGAAGTAGGCGTGTCTGCTAAGGAGATGCGGTGTGCCGCAAGGACACTGCAACAGTGGATCTGCAATTGTAGTAGCGGTGAAAGACTCGTCTGTTTACAGGCGGTAATTAATGTACATTCGCGAAGGATGAAGCAAGTCCAGCTGACGATAATAACACCTAGCCTCCCTGATCGCTTGGGTATCTTGTGACATGCGTCCGTCCTCCATCCAGGCCTCCAGATTATGCACATGTACGTCACACAGCGCCAGCTTCCGTGTTTGTCGCCCGTCCACGAGGCCTTGTTCATAATCTTGTACAATATAGATATTACCAAGCATACCCATTATCACCAGGCATTTCATCATCTCCGTTCCAATCCTCATCACCACTGACCTCTTCATCAAGGAAATCGTCTTCTTTGAGCTGCTCCTCAGTAGGTCGTAGGTTGTCGATCAAGACATCCACTACATCGCAAAGGCCTTGTACGTACAATTCCGCTTCGCGATCGACAGATGTTTGTTGGGTATCTGGCTCAAGTATGCCGTCGTCGTCGATTGCTGAGTCTTCGCTTGATGAGTCATCAGAGCCTTTGCGGCGTCTTCGGCGACGAGGAGCTTTTGGCCGACTGGGAGAACTCTCAGACAGAGTGTAGATGTCTTCCCTCTGCGTTCTGGCTCTAGTGCTTCGGCGAACTTTGACCAACGGAGCGTCACTGTCGCTTTCATTTGCGTCTTCGACCGTTGTTTGAGGAGCCACGTCGACTCGGCTGGCTTGGATGGTGCCTTCATTGTTGAGGTTGGAAGCTGTAGCCCGCGTGAGAGTCTGCCGCTTCTCCTCCCGAACAGCGGTCTTGCCCTTCTTTTGCTGTGATTTGAAAGCCTTGAAAGCGGAAATGGATTTGAGCTGCGGATTTGGCGGTGGCGACCTCCTAAGAAAAACGCGCCGAAGATTTTCCGTCCAATTGTCGCGGAAGGCAATCCTTTCTCGCCAACCGCTCTCATCGAGGCTAGCCTTGATCTTGAGCTGGCGAAGATCAGGCAACATTTCTGCGGAATCCGTCAAAGAGGAGAAGAAAAGCTCGGCCGTCTGAAGATTCCATTTCCGTAGATGGAAGAGCTCCAGATTCCGTAGAGTCACTGGCCAGGTTGGCCTTTCGTCATCAAGTAGGAGTGCGTCATATTTTGGATCCGTATCGCGAATCACGTTCAATGTGCCGAAGTATCGTAGGTCGGCTTTGAGGAGCTCCAGTTTTGGACAGGATTGGGCAAGATTTGTCAGGAAAGATAGATTCAGGGACTGATTATGATCCAAGATTAGCTGTCGAATATTCACCCCTTTCGCAGCGAGGAAGCCATCAAGCGAAGACGATTTTAGTACTGGACATTCCACGATCTCGAGGGTCTGGAGGTTATGTGGTAGTTTGGACAAGAGTCGGTCATTGACAGAGGACATGTGAAAATGTAGGTCTGTCAATTTTGGCAAAAGGTTGATGGCTTCTGCAAGCATGTCTTCGCAAGGTCTGCCTTTCTCAATTGGGCCGGCGGGGTAGTTGACAAGAGCCAGACTTCGTAGGGTCTGGAAGGGCGGCATCAAGTGAACGTCTCTCATTTGCGCCAGTGGAAATGCGCTCTGGCCTTGCTTTGCCAGCGAGTGGTTCCATGTCCAGTCTTGAAGCCTGATCTTGTTTTCCCGCAGCGCCGTAACCATCGAACGGTGATACACAGCTTTACTGCCAGCAATATTCCTGGATCTGCCACTTTTTCTCCAAGCCAGATTATCTGAGTAAAGGTGTAATGTAATGCCTCGCAGCTGGGGAGTCAGGGACACGAGCGCTCCAAGGTCCAAGGGGTCCCTGCCGACAAATTTGTGTAGCATTGTGCTGGAAGCTTCCAAGTCCAGATATTTGATTTTTGCTCCATAATTGAAGCTTGACGTCTCATTTTGGGTTTCTAGGTGCGAGAGGAGGCGATGAGCTCGACTTGGCGTATCGAGAGGTGGCGAATAGTAAAGGGCAGAGAGGGCAGGTTCAGCGAAGGCTTTACAACAAAGCGCAACACTGTACAACCAGTTGATGGACGGCGTGGGATGGAATGTATCGCTTAGGAGAGGTCGAGAAGCGTAGCTGAAGATGGCGAGCAGGATGTGGTAGGGCAGAGTCGGCCAAGGCATGGTCTTGCCAGTGAATTGAATGACCGTATCGCGATTCTTCTTCGAGTCTGTATCAAGCCCACTAAGCTTGAGTCTCTTTGGTACAGCATGATGCCGTCTGTGTCCCGGCCCAGATGCTTTGCGTTTCTTTGAGGTACTCGACTGCGGAGAGGCAGTGGTAGGAGCTAGAGGCGGAGCACGATGCCGTCGTGGTCGCGATGGAGCGGCTTCGAAGTCGTCCTCGCCGGCACATTCATTGAACTCTTCCCTGTCGCTGTCGCTGGTCTGCTCGCGATAGGATACATGGTTGCGCGTAGAGCGAGTTCTGGAGGGTAGTTTCATGTTTCTCACAGAGCGGAGGCGGGACGCCGAGGGAGCCATGAGGGCGAATTAATTGCAGACAGAACGAGGAGCCATATATATGCGATGCTTCAAGAGAGAATGAGCCGAAGCAAAATGTGTTGGCAGAATTGTAGAGGTTGGAAAGTAGGAGTGATGAAGTCGAAGCCTAAAAATACCTAGTCATAGATGTGAATGAAGCGGCATCGGCATGCGCTAACAGTGGTTTGCGCTAAGATAAGGACTAAAGTACAGTACATTACCTTAGTGTCATAATCCCTGTGTCGATCTTCGGCGGCTGCCTTCCGTTCATCCTCTGAGATTTGGCAAGAACTCCAACATCCTTCTTCATTTTGCCTCACGCTGTTTGTTCGTACCATTGTGAGCCTCGGCAAATAATAGTGTGCGAGAGTCACTTTGAGCCCTGCATGTCTATCCTTAGGAGATACGCTCAGCTATCAGTAGAGAAGCATGGGACGTGATGCTAATTTCACCTAAAAGTCCAAGGCACATAGTAGCTGAGGCACGATGTATGAAGTCTGTACTTAGCCAGCTCTACGATTATCGATCTGATCCTATCTACTACGCCTAAGCATCTCTGTCCGATAGGTGCTGCTGTTTGCAATCTCCAGGAGCCTATCTGTGGGAGGTTGGACGATTATCCTCTCGAGGGTCCTCCATATTATACCTCATGAAAGAAGACTGGCTGTCGCCACATGTAATAGATAACGGCAGCTCCCGGTGTTAACCTGCGGCCTGTGCTAGGCGATGTCTCCTGTAATCTGTCCAAGGAGCGAGTCAGCTCCAAGTCCAAGAGCGCATCAAATCGCGGCTCAATTTTGATTGGCGCCGTTCAGCCTAAGATGAGCATTCAAGGTCGTGCTCCATATCACCGTCTTTATCATTTGTGCGCCTCCGTGTGATTATTCTAAACTCCGAGAGTGTTTCAAATGTCAACGGTTAAAACGCGACGTGGTTTAACCAGATGTTAGTCCCTCCATCTTCGGTAATTAACGCCATTCCCGCTGTCATATTTCTGATGGCCAAAATTGAAATCTCTTCTTTCATGAACATTGCAGTAATTCTTCAATTTCTGGCATGCGGTCACAGTGGCCTTTAACATGGCCCCCTTCAGGAAAGCTGTGCCTTCTTGCTTGTATTGCCTCTCCCTACCTAGCTTATGCGTCGAGTTCTTACCCCGTGTTGCCAGACGCACAAGCATGCAGTCAATTCCTTGGGCATCCCCTCGGTCATTGGGCGTGCAAAGCAGCGGTGGACAACCTACCCAGGGGCACCCTTCCCAGCATCTTCACTACTCGTGGACATACCGCAACCAACAATTACATCCAAGTTCCAGTCCAGTACACGGATTTTGAACCCGAGCCGAGCTGTATGGTCACTATCAATTTGGACGGCCATTCGCAGAATGATCAATTCGTGTTCGTTCCGTGGGATGAGATTAGGGAGATGGCCCAGGTTATTTTAGATACTTGCGTTGACTATTTGAACCGTGGCGGGTTCATAACCTACGGTGTCGGGAGGACACTCGAGTCCCTGATCCATCCTACGACCTATGGGGGAGACAACGCCGAATTTCCTACACCGGCCGGGGTCTGGCAGCCGGACGGGACGGTCGAATTTGTCGCAATACCGTCCATTCCTGCCACCAATGAATACAGTAAGTCTTGCGGCCCTACCCTGAATGCTCCACCAGCAATCCACAAATCTCCAACAACTGTCTCCTCCTAGCTAAGTGGACACTATCTTAGATATACCCTATTACATGACGATCACAGTGTCAGCTCCTTCGTACCGGCTGCATCCTGAGGTAACTGACTATGCCATTTCCTTGGCGGTGATGGGAGAGTGAGCTCACTTGATTTTCCTTTGTGCTGCAAACACTAATTGTCAAGCACAGTGTAGAGAATCAATTCCTAAGATCCAGGACCACAACGATTCAGAACAGCCTCGCGAGGATACTCAAGGGACTAGAATCCAACCAGAACTCATTGATAGGTCAAGACCACCCACGATGGTGGCAATACCCCGTAGAACCTCCGACTCCGATCCCCGTCAACGTGAAATACGCCTGTGATGAAACACTTGGGAGTCCCAGTACCGCCAATTGCGAGGCTGTATTGTATGAATTTGTTCAGTCTGGCGATGTAATACTTGATCCCGCGTCGGGACCAATCATCAAAGTAACAGGTAAGTCACCGCACACTCGATTCAACCTACAGGGCCGCGCTGATTTTGAGTCAAACCCCAGGGAATTGCGCCATAGCTGTAGGAGCAAACGAAAGGCATTCCACAACGTGGGATATGCTGCGAAGTGTTGCCGAGACTTTGATCGCAACGTGTATAAGCAGCCCCGGCTCGGGCACTCTTGGCGGTACAGCCATCAGTCAGACGATTCGTAGTCGAAGGAGGAGCCAATACCTCGGCAGGAGACAGACAGGTAAGATCTCCTTCCGTTAACAGCCCTTCGAAAAAGGCTCAAACAAAACCAAGGGATGCTGCAGGTGGCCTTTCCGCCCACATTCGAAATCGCAGTGTATCTCCAGCCACCGTTCAACGGACCTGCAGATGCGACATGCTCGTGGGGAGTGGTGGCGAGCCATCAAGGAGACGTCCGACAATGTCCGGCCAGGTCTGCGCCTTTCCGCCCGCCAGAACGAATCCTAGGCGCGAACGCCACAATGGCCTTAAATTTGACAAGTCCAAACATTTCTGCCTCTTCTGTGAATCAAAGTGTCACCTATACGAGCACGGCAGCCTCTGGTGTACCTTTGAAGCCAGTTGCTGCGAGCGAGCCTTGCATTGCGTCCTCACCTGAACTAGTGACATGCTCAGGTCTCAGTTGAATAGACCACACACATGGCAATGGAAAGCGTATGTTGAGTGCGCAAGAGTTCACCGTCTTTTTGGTGCCGCTACCTCAGTATCGGCCAACTCCGGGACCATTGGATCTGACTAATTGCAGGTCCTCGTATAGCATTCGTCATTAAGTGTACGGAGCAAGTCTTTATCCTGCATGCATGCCTCCGGAAATTGAAGCTGTACATAAACTTGAAGGAATGCTGCATTCGTGCGTGGCATCGCTTTAGCAGCCACTCACATCTAACACTATCGATTCAATGCAAATTTTCCGATGCTATCGACCCGGTTGGAAGGATCCGAGCATTGAGTCCAATTGTTTCCATTGATCTGTCTTATGCAGGTCATCCCGAGAAGGTCCCAGCATAACCTCCCCACCAATCGTGGACATTCCTGATACGGTCTGGTCCAGACGAGGTCATTGTGTCCGATTTTAGGACAGAAGGAAAATGCCTCCTGCTTCTATTCGCAAATTGTACTCGAATGTGCTACAAGCGGCGAGCGACATTTTCGCGTCGCTCCGAGCAAATGTCTGGAGCATACGAGCTTGGCGGGACATACGGGCCGTGCATATAGTTCTTCGCCGGGAACAAGTTGCAAGAAAGAAAGGATTGTAAATAGTGGCGTGCTCCCTCATCATGCCCTTTCTAATCCTCAATCCTCCCTTCCACAACGCAAAGGTCTCGTTAGCCCGTAACTACTTTCGTTTGGTCACCTCATTCTGTTTCTCCTCTTTTAATGTCAATAGCCTTCAAATGCGTGTATTACTCACGACTTCCTACATCACGATGCGTACCACCATCGCCGCCATTGCGACCTTCCACACCATTCTTTTCGCCTTTGCTATTCCTCAACCCTCTTCCACCAGTGTAGCCAGCGGCATAATAACCGCACCCAGTAGCTACTACCTCAAAACTCGTGTCGATGGTCATAGTCACAACGATAAGGATAACCCTTACGTCAGCAAATATCACGCCGGTATAAAGATTTCTGGGCTCAGTCACTTTGTGTCCGCCAGAGAATCAAGGATTACAGCCGCTAAAATCCTGCAGGTGCTGGCACGGCCGACTTGACACTCCAATCAATCGACTTTGCCTCCCCCGCCTTCTTCAACAGCGGTTATCAGGAATTCAACCTCGACCCTCCCGGACCTTTCGGCATCATAATGAGCGACTATGACAATGGCGGGACTGGTAACTCCGCATTTCTCTACCAGCAGACCCAAGCGTTCTGACTTCCCGTAGGATGGAACTTTGTGACCACTGCCCCAGGTTACGGGGATGATGGATTCTTCTTTGATGCCACCGGGTTGCAATATGAATTCCAGGAGATCGGATTTGCGGGATGGCTTGGTACGTCAATCTGTGTGACGGCTTTACCACGGCCACAGAGGCGTGAGGAGTTGGCTAATGCCAGTCTTTGTAGCATACAGGTGGCATGGAGCTCCCCAGCTGTTCTGGCAGTACGCCTATTTACCGGAAACGCTGCCGAGTACTTGCGCCAAGGTCGAGCTATTGCCGGTGGCTATCTAGCATCACGGACATGCGCTACGGTAAGGCGTGGCTTCCACAGGATGAGAAGAGCTGCGTGATTTTGATGGGACATTCTGTGGAAAACCAATCCTGCTTCTAGCATACTATGCTTAATTACGTCTGCTCTAAGCTTAACCTATTTCAAATCAGTCCTCCGGACATATGTACTGTCAAGCCGAAGAAATGCGACCATTTCCCCTCCCATCCACACAATCATATGGCGATCCCTGCGGAGGACGTGACCTCGCGCGGCTACTGCATGCATAACCAATAAAACGGTTCCGCGCCCCACAACGGACGTACCCTTTTCATCAAGGATGCGGAGAAGCTCGCCCTCGCATTGTGACGTTGCAGTGGTGGAACTGTCACCATTGATAGGGAGACTCCGCCCTCTGCTTCTCAAATTTGCTCCAGGTAAGCACTCTAAATCCTGACAGATCATGCGAGCCTACTGCGCATGCATGTCCCAGCAAGCGATTGCGGGCGAATATGCCCGCAGATCCTCAGCCAATGACACGTCTCACATTCGGCACGGTTCCAGTATGCGTTGTATGTGCTCGTGTTTACTGCCGAAATGGTTGAACAATGATCAGGTTGCTGAGGATTTACTGGAGATGTTCCAGTCCGAGGCACTCGCTGGTTAATACGAGCTTATTGCGTCAAGATGCACCAAGTGTGTTGATAGCGACTGCTGATGCTGGATCGAGGAAGGCGGTGAATCAATGAATGAATGGTATATCTGATTACGTGCCCTCTCTCCCATTAATCGCTGTTCATTGTTCCAACTTACAACCAAGTTTTCATTCTGTCTGTCTGTTTGTCTATCTCCCTTCTTCGTCCTCACAACCTGCTCATCTTCAGTTTCGCCAAACTGCCCTCCATCCTCCTTCCATTGCTCTCCCTCATCACCCTACCACTCGCCCTCGCTTCCCCCCTATCCCACAACCTCGACCACCAATGCAACCATCACCCCACCAAGCCGCTACTACCTCCAGATCCGCGTCATCGGCACAGCATGCCAGCTGCACAGACCAGCTACGTATTCCCGGTCCGATGCTCCTCTCGCGCAGTAAATTCTCAACCCAGCTATCTATGCCAAAGACTTCGCTCTCGCTAGCGTTCGACGAGGAGACGAAATCGAATGTTTGGCTTTCACGATCGCCAGCAACCATATCATACGCAGCCCGAATCTCTCATAATTGATAATAGCGCCGGCGGCTGGCATCGTCTTTTTTTCGGTGAGATTCAAGGCTTTTTCGAGGGCGGGGCAGGCACGGGGGTAGGAAAGAGGCGCGGCGAGCAGTAGCGATCTTTAAAATATTGACAAGAGTAGCACCGAGGCGAGTATTCCCGTCGTTGAACGCCCTTTCTGAAGTGGTCTCGATTGAAATGGGTAGATCTTGCTGTTTTGATATTGAAAATTGATGTTGATCCAGGAAGATTTTCAGCGTTGGAATGTCGCTTTCGTTAAACAACTTTGCTGGGCAGAGCCTGAGGTGAGAAGGAGAATTGAGGAGAGCAAGGAAGGATTGGCCACCCACGAAGTTGCTGCACCACGGTTATTCGGAGGGGTTGAAAAGAAGTAGGAAGTAAGTAGAGCTACATCATGGTGGGGTGCTTGTCCGGGCGGCTGTCGCTTGTAGCATGCAGGAAGCTAGTAGTCCTTTGATGCAGGTCCACCCTATCAGAGCGGTAACAGTCTAGAGCGGGTCGAGAAGATGCCAACCATCCAAATTGATCCAAGCCCAACTAATCTGTACATACGGTATGGTACTCCCTCTCGCAGGTTGTCCCACGTTTCGACTTCCAATCTCAAGTCTCGGACTCTCGCCCATCTATTTTCTCGCTCCTGGCACCCATAGCGCTGAGACCCTCACGAACGATATTTCTCGCGCAGGTATATTGAATTTGCGTTGAGAGGAAAGGTGAGTTTTTTGATCCTCTGGATCAGTAAATATTTAGGAAAATATTGATACTGGGTCCCCTATTCCCCGGATTCACCATGCCGTTCATAAGGCTTAGCCGTGCCGTAACACTAAACGCATTCCACTTCCATTCTATGTTATCATCTTTGGCTATGCTTTGCCCCCTCAGCCTCTTTCGTGTCGCCAAGGATCCAGGAAACCAACGAGGGAGTCCCACTGCAAAGTTCCAGAAAAAAGGCAAAGTCGGCGAGATATATGCTGTACTGACCGTGAAACAGGGGTCCCCGCATTTCCTCTCGTCTCCCTTCTCGCCATCCTTCCACAATTGACCCAAGCCTTCATGGCCTATTCTGGCAAACAGGCGAAGAATTGTGGGGAACATAACCTCCGCAACTTGATCTGGCAGATGATAACCATAAGCACGTGCCCTCGGCAATGTACTCGAGTTCTGGGGATCTGGATTTTGCCATGGATGCTGATTGGCTCGAGGCGCTCTGGAAACAAAATTAGTCGTGGTAAAGCTCCCGAGCTGGCATGTTTACAGTCTCTATATGTTCATACGACAAAGCTTTGACAGGGTTCTCGCTGATCCTACTGCCTGCGCCACAGTGCCTAGGCTTCCTCAAAGTAATGGCCTACGATGTTGGGTCTGACCAGGGCACCGCAGCGTCAATTGGAACTATTGGAGTGTTCGACTTAATATAGAAAGTATAGAAGCCTCCTCATCAACTGAACAGCCCAGGCGAACTGAGCCTAAGCATCTCCACCCTCGTATATTCACTACCACAAACTTGATTGATCTGCAGTACTCGCATCATGTTTCCACTCCTCCGCCTCGTTATCAGTTTCACTTAATCTCGCATTCCCCTTGGCAGAAGCCGATGACGCTTGTGACTTACACGGCAGACAAGTTGCTATTTATTCCAGATCGAATCGACCTTCTGTTTTCCCATATCCTGGTGGAGGGTACCATGCAAGAGGTTGTCGGGCGAACGTTCAAACAGACGAAAAGTGAATCTTTTAACAACTCTCGATCTCGCTGTTCTTCGTCTTCTTCAGGCGATATACATGTTCGTCCTGAACCTTTTGTTTTTTGGTCAATGGTTTCTTCTAGTATTCATCCGGCTGCGAAAGTTGGGTATCCTGTCAAAGTTGCACATTGATACATGAGTCCGAATTGAAAAAGAAGACTGACGTTGCTTGTGGGCATTCTCATGAACCAAGAGAGTAAATCTGCTCTGCTGAAATTAAGAAGCTAAACAAAACGATGCGCTAATACAAGGTGCCAAATGGGGGATACTACATCTGGCTCTAAGGCCCACTGACCATATTCCTCAAATCCACATTTTCAACAATAACCATGGTGATCCAAACGGCCGTCGTCACCGTCCACGCCAGCACCGTATACGTCCCAATCACCACCCCGGCCGTCAGCCACAGCATCACCTGCGCGAATTCTTGCACGAACTGCCCGAACCCGTTCGGGAACTCCCACGCCAGCTCCGCCGCGATGGCCTCCGCCGCGTCCGCCACGACGTCGAACGTGAGCCGGAGCAGCCCGTACGTGATGACGTAGTTCTGCACGGTGGGGCCGAAGCCGAACTCGCCGCCGGCGAGGACAGTCATGTTTCGGTAGTATTCGGTCGTGCGGTAGTAGGCGAGGGAGGAGGAGACGATGACGTCGGCGTGTGTCCAGATGAGGCGGAAACCCATGACTGTCAGGTCACTGGCGAGACTGCGTTTGGTGAGTGGCGGTGATGATGATGATGATGATGATGCGGCGGAGTGGAGGCGGAGGTGGTCCGTTATGTGGTTGTGGCGCTGGAGGAGGGCGGGGGAGGGATGATTGGATGAGGTCAGCCAGTACTTTTTGTTGCGCCGGGCATGGCGGTTGGAGTCATCGGGAAGGGCTCTCGTTGTGATGAGGGCGTGGAGATTATTGTTGGGAACGTCCGGTGATTGCGCCGGGACGTTGTTGTGAGGTGGAATCGGTTTTTTGGGGGGCCGGATATGGTTTGTGGTAGGTGAGCCGAAAGAGGTACCTGCTGCGATGACGAGAAATACTATTGCCATTGACAGGGGCAGAAATGACAGAAACGAGCAGCGCATGCTGTGGACTTGTCCTCAACGTGACTTGAGTTGCCAATCTTTGAGGAGATACGATGGCAAAGGTACGAAGAAAGCTTGTAGTGAAAAGCGGACATTTTCGTTACCTTACCTTACCTTATTGTCAGTGATTTCACAATAGTCCACGTACTTAGTCGAATGTCGGGAATAACAGTCTCACTCTTTTGGGCGGGCCGTTGTGAAACGCAATATGCGTATCCACCTACAACAGTAGAAGCGCGTTGCAACGGACGGTTATGTTTATGTACCTGACTTTATAGAGGTCTGATCCCGCTCTCGGAAGACAGCCCTATATTCAGGCGGGGCGTTGCCCGAGATCCGTAGCCGTTTATGAATTGCAAATTAAATAAGAATACTTAACAAAGCTGATCCAGCTCCGCCTCCGACTTTTTATTAGTGTTATTTATTAGAAAATTATAGAAAACGTATTTATCACTCTTATATCAGCTTATTTTATATTTTTAAAGCTTCTATATAGCTTAAATATAAATATAATAATATTATAATATCTTAAAATACTATTAATTCTTATTAGATAATTAAGATAGCTATTAATAATTAGAGACTCTCTAAATCTTATCATTATCTCTTCTTTAAGCGAGTCTCTTTCGCGAATAAATAAAGTAATATTACTATTATTATAATTTAATAAAAAAAGAAATAAGAGAAAATTTAATTTATTTAAATAAAGATTAAAGTTATAATCGATAGAGTAATCTTAAAAAAATAGAAAGAGACTATTAAACGTTATAAAAAGAAAGAAATTATATATTATAAAGAGTAGAAGAAATATATAGCTTATCTAGAGATCGAGATAAAGACTTTATAATATAAGAAGAAGCTTAAAAAATAATATACTACTATTATTCGCTATAAATAAGAAATTTATACTACTATTATTCGTCGCGAGAAAAAAGAATAAATAACTATATAAAGAGATATTAGAATTTTAATTAAAGAGTTTCTAAATAAGATAGAGTTTAGAGAGTCTTATTTATCTTAAACTTTTATAATAATAAAGAGAGATAAGAATATAAGAAATAAACTCTATAAGTACTCTATAAAGACTATATTAAAAATATAAAATAAATTATAAATATCTATTAAATAATCTAATAAGATTAAAAGTCTATATATTAAAGAAAGCTTCGATATTTATATTTTTAATATTAATCTTAATATAGCTATAGAGTAATACGATATTAATAATCTTAATAAGATTTAAAAATAAGCGAAATCTACTTACTTTAAGAGAACTCGTTAAAATTTTATTCTAAATATTATATCTATCGAATAATAAGAGTAGCGAGTTAAGTCTATTACTATAGTCGAATAATAAAAGCGTTTTAAATATATTCTCGATATAAAGCTTATTTATATCGATTATATTAATTTTAAAAAAGATATTTAAATTATAAACGAGTTTATATAATCTTCTTTTTATCGTTAAATAAGAACTAATAATTTTAAAGATTAATATATTATTATTCGCGATTAATAAAAGACTTTTAATAATTATCTAGAGTAATTAATTATTAAATAAAAATACTATATTACGAGCTATAGATATAAGAATATCTATTAAATCGATAAGAATAATAAATATTATAAGATAAACGCTATAATAAGAGAGAGATAAGCTATTATTATTTAAGACGATTAAATTACTTAATATTAATCTTCTCTATTTATATATAAGATCTTTATAAATATAAATTTTAACGCTAATAATAATAATTAGAAGAAGAAGACTTTAATAAAATAAATAAAGACTATAATAAAGTAGTAAATAAAGCTCGATTTATTAAAGAGTATAAAGTCTATAGCGAGTATAGCTAATAAAGAAAATTGGTTATTATACTTATAATAGTTCTATTCTTCTTATTAGCCTTCTTCGTCTATATATTCTTTTATATTATCTTAATATTTTAATAGTTATATATAGTAGTTAATTAATACTTCTACTCTTACTTTTATTTCTACTTCTACTTTTATAATAAAGTCTCTATAAATAAAAATATCGTCTTTATAATAATTAAATTCTATTAATATACGTACTAAGAAGAAGAATATTATTAAGCGCTTTTAGTAATAAAAGAAGAAGAATATAAATAAAGCGGCGAGGAAGCTTTAGATCTATTAGATTTAGACGTTTATTAAATAATAGATATAGAATATAGACGATATAAAAGCTCTATCTAACGCGTTTATTAATATCTATAAATATATAATAAATAAAGATCTATTATATAATCTTCTTTAAGATTTAAAAGAAGATTTATTAATCTTTAAAGTTTTATAAAGAGAGATTTATTAGTATATCTATATTCTAAAATAATTAAAATAAAGATAGAGATAAAGTAAGAAATTTAATTAATATTATATAGTATTTTACTATAATTACTCCGCGATCTCTATAGTTAAATACTTTAGATTTTATTTAAATATTTCAATTTTATCGTTAAATATATAGTCTATAGTATTATATTTAAAATACTTTATTATAAATCTATTATAGCTATTAATATCGATCGTATACTTTAAATATTCTTTAAATTAATATTTAATTTTATTAAAATCTATAAGCTATAATATCGATCGTATACTTTAAATATTCTTTAAAGTTATTTTAAAAAATATATTAAAAGACTTTAAAATAACGTCGTATTTACGTCTTAAGAATATTAAATATTAATTTAATAAAATTATAGTTAGATAAGTATAAAGAGAGATATTTAATAAGATAATCTTTAATTTATATAATTTTAATAATATAAGAATTAATATAAACGCTAACGTTATCTAGAATAATAATATTACGCTTCTCGAAATACTCGTTATAAAAAGATAATAATTAATTAATAATTTAGTTAAGAATATCTTTTTTACTATAATAATCTTTTTTAATTTTAATATAAAGTAAGTAGCTAGCGATAATATACGCAGATAAAATATTATAAATATTATCTTATTTTATATTATTATAATATCGAGTAGAATTATTAATAAAAGTATAAATTATAGATCGCTATATAATTTATAGTTTAAATAATAACTTATTAATAAAGATTAGCTACTCCGCCTTAATTTAACTTATAAACGTCTATTATATAATATATAATTCTTCGCTTTATAAATTAATTCTTTAACTCTTCTTATATATAACTTTAATTTATTTTAGAGCTCTATAAATAATAAACTTATAGATTTTAATATCTTACTTCTCTTTTAAAAATCGCGCTAATTCATTTTAATATAGTTATAACTTTTAATATTAATAATTAAAAAGAGCGTCTAAAATAATAGATAAGAGATTACAATATCGCCTTTATATATAAATATATTTATTATAAAAAATTATAATATTACTATAGATAGTAAGATTTCGCTTTTATCGATATATTATTAATATATTAAAATAAATACTTATAGTTATAGCTTTAAATTATTAATAAGATTTAAATAAGAGTTAAATACGCTAGCGTATAGAGAGATTCTTTCTAAATAGTAATATCGTATTTAAAGTAAGAGCTAGCGATATAATTATTATATATTTAAATTAAAGATAAAATATTAAAAAAAGCGTATATATTTATTAGCTTCGATATTATAAATATTTAATTAAAATAGTAAACGATAGTAGCTATTATAAGAGTAATAAGTATATTCTCTATAATTTTCTATAAATAACGCTAATAAAAAGTCGGAGGCGGAGCTGGATCAGCTTTGCCAAGCATTCTTATTTAATTTGCAATTTATAAGTCTGGCTTCCAGGGCTGCTTAGTCACCATGCAATGGCTTGGCATCACAGGCCAGATGGAACACTTCACAATTCAATAATGACAATAAGGAACCACCGAACGAAGCGAACCAGATCCCCCACCATGGCAAACTTCTCCTGCATACCAAACTTCCATTCTCAGTATCTGTTCTCTACGAGGAACATAAATTCTTTGCGTTACGTCCTCCTTGATCTCGCAAGCCTCCCATAGATCCTGTCTCAGAGCACAGAATACGCCACTGCTACAATTTCCAAGGATCAAGACACTACAGTCTGCCATGGCAGCAAAAGATAGCACCATCCCAAAATCACTCGCGGTGACTCGGCTGGTGCAAACATCGGCGGAGAAATGTAGGCGCCAAAGTGGAATCTGCCGCTAAGGGCATCCATGTGCGCCCTTCTCATCCCTTTCCCCCTAACCCCCATCGCCTTCCCGGCAATTACCAAAGAGTATTGACGCGTTCTAGGGCATCGGAGAAGCCATTCGCCGTAACGTCAACGTGGCCGTCAATTCTCCCAGCGGCGATAAAGAGAGGGTGCAACGGCATGAGCAGATTGCCAACAAGGGCGTGGCCGAGATAGATCAGGGAAGAGCTGTGAGAGGATCAGGAGAGGCATACCCGGGTCCTGGGTTGGGATCGGGGAAGGTGGGAAGATAGATGGTGCGGGGCTGAACGAGATTATAGGGGAAAGCTAAGAGCAGGATCACACATGGTACCCGAGTATGTCTGGCTCGGCCACATCCTTCTACCAAGCTCAAGTAAAAGCTACGACCAGCTCTCAGGCACGGCTTTTTAGAACGCGGGCTGTTATGTCTACTTTTAATTACATACGATGCAACAATTCAGCTCATGCAACAATTCAGCTCATGCAACAGTTCAGCTCATGCAACGTGGACCTCCAATGTGTCTAGAGCGTCTGCTGCAATTGCGTCTAGAATTGGCATGATGATGGGCCTGTTGAGCGGTATTCGGCCGTTTGGTTGGCTCCATGGGGAGGCGGAAACAGAAGACTGATGCAAAAGGCGGTATGATCTTTCCCCACAGCCCGAAGGACGCGCGCTTATCAAAGAATCTTTTACTAAACTGGGAAGCAGACATATGCCGATCTAGCATTCAAAGGTCTGAAGCAGGAATAGGGGCCTTGAAATCTGCAGTCTCACTCGCATGGGATTCCGAAGGATTTTATTTCCAGACGCACGTAAGCACTGTGCCAAGGTGCTTGCATGATTCGCTTCGGCACGATTTCGATTGGCCATTCGCTCTGCACCAGCCTTTCTTCGGCTGTGGAAGCGACTTTATTTGTCGGCCCATGGTATTGGGTCGGCCTCTTTCAAATGGTTACCCAAGCACCATTCAGTTCGACCGTCGTAGTCGACCTCCATCGCGATTCACCTTCCTCATCCCTCTCAATCTAATGATACGCCGGAACTGCTTTATATCATCGTTGCTACTCTCTCTTCAAGGACCATGCCAATGAATCAGGACCTCGTGGACCCTGCAAGGTTCAGCCAAAGGAGACTTCTGGTGCGCAACTCACATCTCTGCAAGATTGGGCGTTGACTTCGAGATAGGGGACGTTGTGGGCAGGTGTAGCAGTCTCATTTTGCTTCTTACTGTTCCGCTTCTACGTTCGCCTCAAGATATTCCGCCGCCTTCATATCGAAGACCCTTTCGTTCTTGCAGCATGGCTGATGAATGTCGTCAACGCTGCCATTTGGCAGAAGACCGCAAATGAGCTATACTCAGTCATTGGGGTCGAGAGCGGGCATATAGCCATGCCTGCACCGGAGTATTCCTCACATATCCACGTCGAACTCCACAGCCTACTTGCGTCCGAGCTACTCTATTACACGGCTTTGTGGAGTGTCAAATTATCTTTCCTTTTATTCTTCCGCAATCTCGGCAATTACATACGACGACATATGATACTTTGGTACTGTGTCCTTGCATTTACAATCGCTTCATACGCTGTTTGCTTGTGCATGCTCGATTACAGGTGTTTGGTAGAACCAAGAGGCATAGGTAAACATTCCTCGATTGCGAGAGAACCCGAACTGATACACGTACTGCACAGCGGAGTGTCGTAGTGTCCACGCCGCCCACTTTGTGCCTACCTCTATTCGACTAGGTACCGTATTCGACACTTCATCGGATGGCCTTCGTAAGTCATAACTTTATGACTCATTTGAGACTCAATAGCGGAATCTGACAACTCGCTAGTAATCCTGATGTCGACAAACCTCCTCTGGAATGCATTGATAGAAGTCAGGAAGAAGCTAGCATTGACCGGCATTTTTTCCTTGACAATATTCGTCATCAGCGTCTCGATTACGCGAGTCGTCCTTACAACAAGCGGGCCTCGGCTCGATCTTACCTGGCTTCTCCTATGGAGTGGGCTGGAAATGACAGTCGGTACGCATTTCATGCCCTATTCTATGATATCTTCCCCCTCAACTATCTATGCAGCTGATCGAACGCCACTCTAGCAATCATCGTCGCCTGCCTGGGCTCTTTCAGAATACTGTACACAAGTTCAGAACGCTCCAGGCGTTCCGCACGCATCGAAAACCAAACAAACAGAGATGCAGAATATCTAGGCAACGATCCTGGAGTCCCACTCAACGCCCGAGTGCGCAACTCGACATCTATCAATGCAAGCGAGTACAACCATAAGAAGCGGCTGGAGTCAACAGATACATTCGAAGAGGCTATACTTCCCATGGACAACGTTTACGTTCAGCATAAGTATAGCAACTTTTCTGGACCAAGTTTGAGGTACGAAGAAACGCCATCACCGCTAGAGACCCCAGTGGTCCGGCCTCACTGTCATTGTTCACCATCATTCGCTGGACATCAGGGTTCGGGGTGGGAGGACGTTACGCATTCAAATCACTAAAATCAAATAACAATCGCAGGTGCTCAGCACGCATTTGTACTGAATTCGAAGGCTTTGAAGCGTGTACTCTAACACCTGTTACAACCATCTCTCCAAAGATTGTCTCAGTGTAGCAAACTTCAGCCCCAGCATTCGGCTCCAACTCAGTTCCCCCCCCATATTTCCCCCTTGATTTAGCGGAAGTATCGATCTTCATCTTCATCTCCAACACGGTTACTCGTAACCGCGCATCTTTCTTGTCCCATGGGTGTCCTCAACCAGTTAGTGAGTGGTCCTATCGAACGGACGAAAGGATTTTCCTAGCCGTATCACATGCATATGCAACGGCTCAACCCTGTGCCCCCCCCTTTTTTTAAGGAAGATGGCTGGCCGGTGCGGGTTTCGGCCCAAGATGTTTTCCCCCCTTCGTCAGGATGATTTCGGCGTTTCCGGTGATGAGGATTGCCTACGTATGTGCGCCCAGTCTGTTGCATTGCGACGAACGAAAGATGCACGAGCTTGCAGTTTGCAGCCTTAGTAGGATGCAACCGGGTAATTCTCTCAATTTGCTAATCTAATGGCTCATAGAAGCGATCGCCTTCATTTTGGTGAAGGATGGCTTGTTAGGGAAGAGGGTGTCTGTTTTGAATGAGGACTATGGTCATCTGGTCTTTTGCGTCTTGGCTGAACATACACTGTCGTCTGTTTTCATAGTCGGGGACACTGAACCCGCGCTAATTGTGGGGAATGTCAGGTACCAAACCCGGAAACTTTTGGCGGCCTAGTGCTGTCTCGCGTAACGTCCCATGAAAACTACACGCACAAATGAGTTCTAAATGATGATTGGCTGGGTCCTAAGGCCCAGCCGCACGCAGAGTCTGGCGCCTAGTGTGCACCATGTCGAGACTGTAAGGCTGAACCCCTGAATTGTGCACTCTGCCAGACGATGGGATAGCCGTGGCGGGTTAGATGAGGATCACTTGGCTCTTCTATCACGTAGAAGGTTCGTAGTCAGCACCACGTACTGGTGGATCCCATGCTGGCTTATACCACTACGACTGCGCCTTAAGAAGCGGGACGGGTTTTGCTAACCGTTACGGCACGAGTAGTCCGTCACTCATTAATGACTTATACTAGCCGTAGGCCTGCAAGCGTATGACCGCTCGCCCACACAATCTCCTTGCCTGGCAGCGCGCCTTGCATAGCCACTGCCAAAAAAGCTGGCCGCAAGGCTGAGGCTGAGCGGCTGAGGCAGATAGATGACGGCGTTAAACAACCTCGAGGCTACTATAATCTTCTACTCAAGTCTTACATCCTTACCACCTGGGCTTCTCGGATTCTGAATCTCTTGAAACGGGCAATTATGCCAGTCGTCGCGACATTTGGCTCTTTCGGTGACATAGTATCGCCCTGCCTCATCATTCAAGACCTAGTGAAGGCGATTGACGATAGTAGAGGCGCCTGTGCGGAATACCAGGAAATCAACAGAGATCTATGGCCTCTCGACCGGATTTTGCTTCTAGCAGAAGATCTGTGGAGGCCGTGCGAAGCCACATCGAGCTGATAGGCCTCCGTGAAATGGCTCGTCACATAACGCATCAATGCCGTTGTTCCATTGAGAAGTTTCTCGAAAAGGTCAAGAAGTATGGTCCAAAGCTAAGTGATGGTGGATCGGGAACTTGATACGGAATACAAAAATGAAAATAAGATGGCAGGTGGCTCATTCAGGTAAATTGACGAAATTCCGTCTCGAAATCCATGCGCATTGCTCTTCCATTTGAGGTGTCACAGACTTCCGAGATTCAATGGTCAGCCACACTCATTCCTGACAGTCTCGGAGCTGACACCTTTCGAATAGTGCTGATTGTGGAATGTGGTGTCGAAGTATCACCGAGCACAACGATGTTGATCCACCTCCAACCGCGAATGGCCCAAGAACTTCCACGGGCAGGAGCACTGAATTTGGCCCACAGTCTTCAGGCTATCTTGTTTTAGGACACATTCAAAATGAGGATGTCACTCGCTTCAAACGAGTCCGCGTTCTATCAATAACAACACGCGATTTAGTGTTCTCATTCTCACGCATCACACATACACAGGGCACATAGGTATGAGGTATCAAGTGGTTGGGCCGTCCCCGACGCCGGGATAACAGCTGAATAGAGGCCTGAACAGACGTGTTCGTACCCCAGCGCCGAGAAAACTCCCATACCTATGGCATAGACCTGGAGTGAAATAGTAGCTAGCTATGTACAGATGTGGGTGGGTGGGACAAAAAATATGCAATGGCTCTGAAAGAGACGAAATCGAATGAAGAGCCATTGACAGGTGCAAAACAGGTGGATATGTAATTAGCTCGTAATGAACAGGTGTCTCCTGCCCCTGACCGGGTACCCTAACAGTGTACCTGAAACAGCGGCTATATCATGAAACCCACTAACCCCCAGTCCCACTGTGGCGAATAAAGGGAAAATTGCCAAAGGCCACTACTGAAGATTATCTTAAGTGTAGCGAATGTCAAAGGAAAAAGATAAGGGTAAGAACATTCGAGTCGGGGTTTATCTGACGAACCTGCAACTAATCCTTTTGTATTTTGGCAGTGCTTCCCTTTTGATCATGTCTTGAACAACAGTTGGGAGAGGTGCAAACCCTGTGAGCTCAGTGGCATACCCTGTGGACCAAATTCTCTGGAGTCAGCAGTGTCGGCGGCGGCTTATGAGGCGAGAGTGAAGCCATTGTTCAGTGGAGGCGATTTGAAAGCAGGCTCTCGGGCTCAAATCACAAGGGTACTGGCGATTCAATGGATTACTCAAGAGAGCGTGGAATTGCTGTTGAATGGAGACGGTGTGAAAGCAGGCTCTCGAGATCAAGATCATAAGTCAACGCTGTCATAGACGGCTCCGGAAGGGCGCGTGGAAGTAGTGAAGCTGCTTACAAGCCGAGACGATTTGACAGCAGGCTCTCGAGATCAATGTAATAAGACACCGCTATCTTAGACGGCTCAGAAGTGGTATGCGATAATAGTGATGCTACTAAAACAGAAGTCAGGAGATGCAAGCTATAAGCCATAAAGCCTAACAGGGGACGCTTTCAATGGTGAATTCTCATATTCGACTAACGTAAAAGGGGACTGAGTTATCTCTTTCAAGACCATCCTTCTCCTAAGAAGCAGCTCTTCTTTGTCAACATGGATTTTCCACCGTCGTATGTCAGTTCCCTGCATACAACAGGTCTAAAAGAGTTACCGAAGACAACGGCCCACATCAGATGTAGTGACGCGCATCTCGTTCACCTCACATGGATTGATGATTCCCGTGAGTGCACCAAAGTAAATGCAACCATGCAATTCTGTTCTGGCCTGGCATCAGACCATGATTCTGTCGAGCCATGTCAATGCTCAAGAAAACCAGCAAGGAAACAAACTGATTGTTGCCGTACTCGGAATACCTCGTTGTACTTTCGCTCGCTTGGAGGAAACTCCACGATGGACTGTACTACTACAGTCGGTGGTGGTCCATGTCCATATATGCGCTGTTGGAAAGATCCCATGTCCATTTTTGCCATCTAGTATCATCCGGGCCGAGCGGTCGATTGTGAGACGGTGTGATTGTTTCTGCTCGATGGGCATAGCTGGCGTGTAAAACCTAAGCTGCCCTTTTAGATCTTTTCATCTTTTGTAAAACGGACCTACGGAAAGGCAAATATTGGGTTCCAACGGTGAGGTCCGAGATGGGCATGAAGCCCCCAAAGAGGAGAATGGTCATAAGAAACTACCTCAAAAATGGGCTCGGGTGTAGCTTTGACTGTTAGAAGTGACTACGAAGGTGGGGTTAGAAGCCTCAAAAGTGGTGAGATTTCTCCAAGAAGGGAGTCAAATCTGTAATTAACTCTTCAAGTCGACTGCAAAAACAGGCTGGAAGTTTGAACCACGTAGGGAGATCGATACCTACTCCGGGACGCGATACTCGAAATTGGGGAAGCTTCTTGGATCGTACTGCAGATACGGATATATAGCCCTGGAAATGCAAAGGGCTTCTGATCTACTGTTTTGCTTCGGGTTCTTGCGGCGGAGTGCCGATTGTGATGTTAATTTTCGATTGTCTGGGTGAGGTCAAACCAGCTCTGTGGATTAACGTTTTCAACACGCGAGAAACGGCATTTAGCAATGAGAAGGGTGCGTGGTAAGTACTTTTATTGCATTTCTAGCGTCGGTCTCCTTCCTTGACTAGCAGGTGGTTAAAAATGGCTCCTCCTCTGCTTGCACCCTAAAGCTACCGTTCTACATGTCTCTGTCAGCTTCATGTGCGGTTGCATGCATCTCGAGAAAGTCCAATCATCGATCTCGCGCTACGGCTACGGATTGCAGTTGATGAATCCCGGCACAAGCGCTGGCTGCGAAGGTAAGCGTAGTGATGGCTGTGAGGGAGTGCATATATGATTGGGTTCAGTGTCAAATTCCAACAAAGGAAAGATACAAGACTGGCTTCAATTATGTGGATGCCAACATCGTGGTCAACAAGCAATGTTGGGTTGGACTCTGCCGCAGACACGGGGCTGATTGGAAACCAAGTCTAATGCCCGTTTGGGGTAGGTGGTAGGGCACAGCAACAGGGAAAGGCGCGGTAAGCGAGGAGCCGAGATTGAAAAGTCGAGCGGATGAGACGACCTCGTACCATTGCTGGCATTGTATGAAGCAGATAACATCTTTTTATTGGTTGACGAGCTTGAAAGACGATTTCACTCTGGCTGGGCTGGGCCATGCTGACGTCCATGCCAAGAAAGAAGATCGAGATCCCCATCTTCTATCTTGCGGGCCTCAGCAGCGCAGGCAACGCTTTCATTATCCTTTCACAACCATCTATTCTCCTAGACGGCCACTGGTAATAGGTCTACCTGCGCGCAACTGCTCGGAAATTGATTGCTGTTGTCGAAGAACTTCCAGAACAGCTGCGGGACCCCGTGCCACCAGTCACAAACTGCCAAAGGCCGTCAGCCAGGGTTCTTGGAAAGACCTTGAACCTGGGCAGTGGAAAGAAAGGCGAGAGGGCAAAAGGAGGATGCTTACCAAGCCATCCGGAAAACCCGTCCGGGTTTTGGTTGTACTGCAAGCCCGTCTCGTTGAAGAAGAAGCCCGCAGAGCCATACCCGGCGTTGATGGCGACGAAGTCCCATTCTGATTCAAGGATCGATATTAGCGCATTCGCTTTTCCGAAGTATCATCTGAGGTTGGACACTTGCCCGCATAGTAATCATAAAGAACCATCACCATGCCCCAGGGGAAATCCGTGCCGTAGTCGAATTGCTGGTTGGTGCCGTTCAAGAAGCCGACTGATGCGGCGTCGATGGACTCGAGGGTCACATCGTTTTCTCCGGCACCGGTGTGGTAGCCGCTAACGTAAAGGCCGTTCTTGTCCTCATTGCCATAGCCTTTGACGCGTGTTTGGAGGTAGTAGCGGCTTGGTGGGGCAATGGTTCCATTAGTAGTCAGGTTGACACTGGAGGGTGGAGTGATGGTCGCATTGGTCGTTACATTGACTGGGAAGCGTCGTGTAGCGAGGGTGAGAGCAGACGGTAGGGTGAGCAGGAAGGTGAGGGTCTGTAGACCGAGCTTCATTGTGACGGTGCTGAGGGTTGTGAGGTTGTTGAAGTTGGTGAAGAACAGTGAAGATTGTTTGCGGGTGGTGTGGAATTAGTTGGAAATTATGTAGGTAAGTGTTAAGTCGATGGTTCTCTCTTCATAATGCGCTAACAACAAAAAGAAGTGGCAAGGCAGGAAGCGGCGTTCTATACATACTATCCAGCTCTTGGCCACGTCATCTCGGTCCACCTTCCTCTTCCTCTTCAACACGTGCACGATTGTTTATACGAAGAGAGACAACGCATCATGCATGTTTTTGTCCGTAGCATGGTCAGCACCAAATATAAGCAGACAATGTTTTGCAGCTCCAGCGTTACCCAGCGAGGTAGGAGCTCGCGTCCAGCTTCCCCGCATTCTATTATTAAATGGATAAATGGATAGAGTCTTTTGCGAAACAAGTGACCTGGTGATCAGATGCAGAGGGCCGGTCAATGCCGTATTCGAGGTTTCGGATCCGATTACCGGAAGGGGATGCTCGGTCTCGCGCCACTCTGATAATATACGCGGATGGTCTGCGTCAGCCGACCATAACCACCGCATCCACTGGGAAGCCGAATCAATCCCATTTAACGTCGATTGTATCAAAATCTGCAGCATGCTTCCCAGGTAAGCGAAAGCCGAAGCCAACGCCACGCGCTCGTTGAGCCAGATCCGGGAGGTACACCGTAACGACTTCATAACCCTCAACAGCTTCGACAATTTAGGCAAGGCCCAGCAGTACTTTGTACTTTATCACTCGCGACGCCACTTCCTGACGCCGAAGATGACGGCCACGATAAGACTGAGACTGGGTAGAATCACACCCAGCGAGATTTGAGCAGGGACACTGAGGTTGTTGCCACCACCGTTACTACCGCCACCCTTGCTTGCAGCAGATGTAGATGAGGACGGTGCTGATGACCGTGAAGAGGATGATGTGAGGAGCGGTAGATCGCTGGGACGTGCTGTCGCAGCATCAGTGGAAACGTCTTCTGTTGACGAGGTCGTCAGGGAGGATGATATTGCCGTGGCCACAGAAGAGCTCGAGGACGTTGTTGGGAAATGTTCGGAAGTCGGTGACACAGACGATGAAGAGGTAGACGTCGAAGAGGAAGAAGAAGGTGTAGAGGGTGCGGCGCTAGATGCGCTCTGAGGGCTCGTAGACGGGAAGCATGGGCAGTCCACGCTGTACGAGCCAATGTTCAAGGGTGTGCAAGTTCCATATGGTGCAAGTATCCTGTTTTCAGAGCAGTAGGGATCGGTATAGACCGTGACTGTCAGAACTCGTCAGCTTCATGCTTTTGCAGCAGAAGTATGAGCTTATAGAGAACCTGCACAGCATGAGTCTAGATGACTGGGGTCCACACTATTCGCCTCTTGCGATACTGGAAAGCATGTGCCGTTGGACGCCTGTTGATCGGTCTGCCCGGTGAAAGTGCTGTCCTGACAAGAACGGTCGCTGAAAAAGGGGACGATGCTTGTCGCGCCGACAAAGATGTTGATGCTAGCGCAACAGGCGAACAACAACGATATGCAGGACGTGCGGTACTTTCCCATCTTGTTTGGCTCTCATTCTGAAGATGAGAGAGAAAGGGAAAGTTATCTCTGTGAAGCTTGGCCGGCGGTACCGGCGACTAGATGTCCTGCGTCATTCGAGAATATATGCCGCCAAGACTCTGGGCTGCATATAGTGGCTTGATCCAGCGTTGTGGTTCGCGAGTGGGGGTTTGCAGCAGCCTCTGGCCCATTCATTCCACCTGCCCAATCCGTGATTTGGCTTGCTAATAAACAAGGCTGACTTGCCACGGGGAGCATGAGAAGCGTAAAGGCGACATTGGCCTAACAGTCTGAAAGAGTACCTACGACGATCCGTGCGAGGGAGCTCGTACAGGTTTAGGTCACGGATGGGGAAAGATGATCGATGCGGTCACAGTCCGTGTTTCTAGAACCCTTGGAAGTCGTGCTGCTACATTCCATTAAAGGCGCAGATACTACTTGCCCCGTCTAAACTCCCCTAGAATATATATCGAAAACCCTTGCTCTAACGGTTACGCAAACAAGTATGGACTTTGCACTGGTACATGGAACCATTTACTGGACCATGAGAGAAAGACTTGGTCGTCAAGCAAGGGGGGAAATATACGATGTGGTAGAAACCAAGGACAGGCAACCTATCCTTGCTTTTATTTCACTCCAACAGTAATCCCGTTTCAAGACGAAAGCACGGACGAAAGAAATCATGCGCCAACTCTATACCGTACCTGCTTGTCTCGAACGGCTTGAATTCGAATCGACCCGGTGCAAATAAAGCAGCGAGTGCCAGATTCATCTCGCAGTACGCCAAGCTACGGTGCAGGCGGTCGTCAGCGCTCTTCAAGTATTCCGTCTGGGGTTTGGAATGACACACGTACTTTGTGCCCACGCGCTGGTGAAACCATCTGCTGAAGGCGATCAGATACCTGTTCAAACTTAGACTAGACGCTTGAAGCCAGCGGTCCGGGTTGAAGGCTGAGGGATCAGGGAAGATGGATGGGTTGGTGTGAACTAGGGTTGAGGACATGCTGACTGGATTCTGGACACTGTATCAACTCCTTTAATTCCTGCAACAAGCCAGATCTTGACGTACACCCATCGGAGTGCTCCATTGTTTATACTGGACTACTTTTTTTTTGAAACTATGCTGATTGTAAGGGGACGGGCCATATGGCAACAAGGAGATCTACCCGTCATTGACATACCTACTATTATACTTACTCCACACAGTCACTGCAATCCTCGTTGAGACTACCATTTTCAGAAGAGCAATGAGATTGCTCTTGAAGCTTAAGTGAACAATGAAAAGGCAAAGCCACAGGTGTCGTGAACAAAGACGCCGGCTCCTCCCTTCGCGTAGTCCGATAGCAACGTGAGGGGAACAACACAATGCCACTGTCAAAGACACACAACACTTAGAAGACCACCTTTAAGTATCTCGTCTCCGTCTCAGCCACCTCCCAGCCAACACCATTCACCAAGATGGAGACACCAATCATGCAGACAGCAAAACCTTCAACGGCTATGCAGACCCGAGCAACCGCCCGGCAGGCACTTGCAGACATCACGCCAGCCACTGACTCTGAAGCCACGGATATCTCCCCGGACACCACGTCGGTGAACGGGGCCGAACCCAAGGACCCCCCGCAATCCTGGGACCGCATCTGCGTCTCCAAAGACTGCCCGATCAAGCACCCGCACAACTTCGGCCTTCGACCTCAAACGCTTCCGGCTCCTCTAGCTATCTGGCAGGACGCCGATGCGGTCGTCGCCGACGATTGCGAATATCCGGACACCGGGCCTCCGCCGTTGATCCGGGCCATGATCGACACTCTGCGGAATGACCCCGTGATCGGGACGAGATATCCGGGGTTCACGGATGTCTTGAGGGACTTTTATCGCGCTCACGGTGGGCGTAGTGATATGTATCATGGGGCTGCGGGCATGTTTGGTCTTGGTGTGGATCTTGGTGGTGGTCATGGATATGGCTTCTACCCGTATCACGGGCATCCGGATCATGAGGGGATGGGAGGATGGTTTGCGTTTGAGATCGAGAAGAATGAGGAGAACGAAGATCCGGTGGCAAAGGGCTGCCATTAATTGGCATACATTGGTCAGGCAGCGGGCTAGAGATCGATTTATTGGTATGTTAGAAAGTCTGGCCCTAGTAATCCATCATGAATAATTGTAAGCGAACTACTCTCTGGCTCTGTTTCGCACTAAGTGTATAAGGTGCCGTGCTTCGTCTCTCTGCACTGCCTGTTACTCTATGCCATTTACGTATCGTGGCTTTCCATTTTCACGGAGGAAGAATCCAACACCTCGTGTGCTTGTCGTAAAGGCTTCACATCGTATTTCTCTGACTGATTCGTCAATTAGCAAAATTCTGTTTTCTGATGGCTGCCAGAGGCAGCGAGACGTCTCGCATGCTTCCCTTCCGCCACTACAGGCCAAATGGTTATGATAAAATGGGGCCCACGAGTCTCTCGGACTGGAGGGAAACGATGCGCATGGAACGAAGATTGGCGCAAAAATCCCTTGATATGATTGGCACGACAATTCCACGACAGCGCCTGTATTGGACGCGATAAGCGTAGAGAAGTAACGCATCGAAAGTTCTCGAGTCACCGCAATCTCCATTCTACTACCCATCGACTTGGCCGTCTCGAGAAAGTGCAGCGAAGGTCGTCCTCTTCCATAAGAATAGCTCTTATCTTGCAAAGCGATCCCCGTTCTCACGGGCGAAAGAAAACTCTGATTAGCATGTCGTCATACAGGTGTCCAGGCACGATCTATGGGTTGTTGATGTTACTCTCCACGTTGGTTTCCCGCGTCACTCCTACACTCGCCGATCTGAGTCCTTCTGCAACAACCAACTCATCAAACCGAATCGTACCCCACTGCTTCACCCCCGACACCAGTGCGGGCATCGGCGAAACCAATCTCAAAGACTGCCGCGATGCCCTCGTCGTTCTTGCCAGTAACCCTGACTTCACAGTCCCGATGAGCTTTAGCAAGAATCACCGACGTGGACACAAAATACCCCGAGGTTGGGCTTCTGGAGATTGCGTCATATTTGTCAGTTGCGCCAACGATAGAGATGCATACACGTTTCGGTTTGCGGATGTTTTGGTGGTAGCGAAGAGGCTTGTTGACACTTGTGTGGGAAGGAATGCGGGGAAGTGGGGGTTCCTGAAATGGGGCGGTGTTGATATTTTGGGAAATTCAGAGACTTTCTATGTTAGTGTTGGGAGGCCACATCCTCGGAGGAGTCTGGATGGGAGTGCCACCCCTGTGGAGTTGGTGAATGGAACGTTGTTGGATCTGGCAATCGGAGTTTCCTGATGAAATGTGTGAAGGAAATGACCAAAGAATATGCAGAGTCTTTTGGTGCACATGAGATTTAGAGTGATTGATAATACTCATTCTAATCTTTTGGAAGGTGGAGGGTATGGTAGGTAAACAAAGACTTGAGTCTTGGTGGAATGCCTCACGACTTTGGTAGCTGGTAATCAGCTGGTAGATTGGCAAGGCACATTCTGCACGGCTTGTTTCGCAAATGGCGTGGTCTTTCGGAAAGGACCCATAATCTTTACACAAAACTTGCAACACTGTTCCAGCTGGCAAGAGTTGTCACTGCGCGAGTACAGGCCGCCGTTGTCTTCAAGTCAAAGGTATTAATTTTGGGGGCCGCGGAGAGTGCCATCCTTGTCACAAGAGTATAATAGCCTGTAGCTCAACCCGCGCTTTGCAAAGTGTCCTTTTTGATATGGGAGATGTGCTATATGGATTTGGTATCCCGGCACCGCTGCCAGTAGATTCGTATTTATTTGTTGAACTATGAAACCGGATGCTGGACTTCCCTAGCCGTGATTGAGATTTGTATGTTTGTTCTATAAGGCTCGGCATAGGTGGCGTATGACGGTACCAATTAGATCTCCGTACTACGGGGTATGGTTAATTCTGATTGAACAATCAAGTTTTAAAAGGCGCGATGGACGCTTCGTGAAGGTGATTATGAAGTCTAGCACTACCGCTGATTCCATTCCTCAAGCGAATGGCAGTGAATGGCGCCTAAGATGATATCGGTCCGGACTATGAAGATTTCCTCATCACGCAGTGGGAAGTAAATGTCTCTGAGTAGAAGGGCGAGAGTGCTGAGATGAAAAAATTGCATGGATGATGAGGAGAAATGAGGTGGGTAGAAGGAAAACTCGAGCATATCAAATTACGTTGTGATAGAATAAGATACGAATGACACTTTGGAATGTAATTCTCGAGGGTATATAATCTCAATCCGAGACCTAATGATTTATCATATTAAAAACCTAAAAACCGGAGTTATAGAGGGTAGAATCCGATTTCTAGAACTCTAATAATCTTTAAGTTTATATCGTAAACTATAGAGTACGAAGCGTATTATAGAGCGCGTTTAAATTTATTAGCACAAACTCCGAATCTTAAAATTTCATAGAATTATAGAGATTATATCTTATACCCTTTGATAATTTTCTTTTCAGATATTTCTATATAAGTAGTAGAACGATAGATCATAAAGGTAAAATAAGACTGTAGATCCTAGGGAGTTACATTTCGGATCAAACTTGTAGTGGGTAAATC